GTTAGGACTCAGTTTCTGCTGTGATTGGCTGTCCTGTGGTCACATGACCAAGCAGTGATGTCACAGCTGTGACAACAACTCCACCTTCTACAAAGACACAAGAGAGCGAGGAGAAGAAAAAGCAAAAGAAGAGGACAAAGGAAACACCGCGGCTCAGAGGTCAGAGGTCACAGCCATGACTGATGTGTTATATGTGAACAGGCTGCTACTGTAATCTGATTACAGACTACGTTCAGATGATCAAACTGGGAACAAAACAGCTGAGCTCAAACGTGTGAAGATGTTTGTGTCGTCTGTTTCATGCAACCGTACGATTATGATCCCGACACAGAATCAGTAACACACTCGACCACATCCACACTAAACTCTGCAGTACCACACACCACCACCTCTACTTCCTGTTTACTGTCCCTCCAAAATAAATCCTAACTCAGGCTGGACTCTGAGCTGATTTGCTGTCTCTCCGTGTGAGCGAGATATGAAATCAGTGAAATGAGACTGAAGCACAGATTTCATTATTGTTGGCAGATTTAAAGATTATCTGACCTTCTCAGTGAGGAGGTGGAGCTTCGATTTCCCGTCGAGTAACAGCGGCGAGGCTTCGGGATGGGAGGAGTAGACATCTGCTGGACAGGAAGAGCCGTTAGTGATCTGATCATTGTGATTGGTTTCATTCAGAAGCTGATCAGAGGAGTTTTTAACAATCCTCGTTTGGATGGAGGCAATTATCTTTGACCTGAACGTGGAGCCTCCGACCTCGCGTTTCACTCTGAAGATGAAACTAGTGAGATCACAGCGGGCACGTCACAAGTTTGACAGGCGGCGCACTCCAGTGAAGGGAACACGGCGAGCATCGCGCTGCTCGCCGAGAACGAAGAGGAAAGCTTTCATTACAAACATGAAACACTCCCATGATTCCCTCTGCTCAGCAGCTCAGAACATGTTTTAATGACACAAGCCAGTCACATGACCCGGTGTAGCGCCAGGTCAGACAGCATCAGTGATTAGACATGTCACAGTCAGAGTGCTCAAATCCAGCTGTGAGCGCACAGCTGTGTGACGCCTTCAGAGGAAACAGGGAGAGTCTGACTTCAGGACGAGCTCCTCCTCAGGAGTAACGCAGAGAGGAACTTCAGTTTCACAGTAAAACGTCTGCATTTAAACACGACAAAGCCGAGCTCGTCGACAAACCTCGGTGTAAGTCAGAGTGAAACACACAGTTTCTTTGACTCTCTGCTGATCTGTTCATGGACACTACAGGACACTCACACACACAGAGCAGTTGTTACCTTGGCGTCCGTCAGCTCCTCTGGATCGGGACCTCAGTCACCTGCGTGCCTGCTTACCTGTCTGAGCTGTGAGCGTGTGCTGTGTGTGCGTGACGTCATCGAGCTGCGGCTCCACCTGCACTCATAAACACAGAGTGTTAAATCCACCCTGTGTGTGGGCGTGTTTAGGGCGCCGTTCTCAGTGCGACACGTTACATGAACACTTGGTGTGTATGAACAGACGTGTGGCCTCCTGATGTGATCAACTTTTACAGGCCGCTGGAGCCTCGGTGCAGCCTGAGCACGACTCCGTGTCACACACAGGTGAGAACAGGTGAGGCTCCTTTAAGTCAGCTGATCCAACTCTGACAGTTTTACAGTGAAGTCTCACCAGTCAGACCGGCACAGGTGTGGCTCACCTGTGTGTGTGTGTGTGTGAGAGACTCTTCTTCGTGGGTTTAAACAAGTTGAGCCTCAGGTGTGTGTGTGAAGGAGGACAGAGAGGTAACCTGAGCAGCTCAGTGTGTGAGGAATGTCTTTGACCTCTGACCTCCTGAGAGCTCCACCTGCTGGCTGCTCTGCAGCATTACCAACAGGTAAATCTCCATGGTAACAGCTTCTGTATGAATCATTAATAACACAAATTTTATGCACAACTTTATTCCTTCATTTTTTTGTGGTGGGTGAACTCAGTGAGGTGATCACCAGTGTGACCTCTGACCCCGACCACCACAGATCTTGGTTCGCTGGCACAGTTTGTTAAACCAGTCACCACTAATGGGATTTCAAATGGAGACAGATCTTAAACTTGAACGCCAGCTCAGAGCTGTAGTAAGATCTCGCTTTTTTCTTTTGAGGCAATTAGCCAAAACAAATCTTATCAAAGCTGCTTTCTGAGACAGTAGTGCACGCCTTTGTTACTGGGTTACTGCAACGCACTTTGTTGTGGGGTTAGTGCAGCACGTCTTTTAACAGGAACAAACAGTCTGAGCACATTTTAATTTCACTCCACTGGCTGTCTGTACAATTTAGGATCGTTTTTAAAGTTCTTTTATTTGTTTTTAAATCTCTTAATGCCCACATTAATGCTCCTTAGGTCCAGTCACCAGCTGCTCAAGCTACCAAAAGCTAAATTTAAATTAGGAATAAATTTAGAGGTAGCTGCTCCAACGTGTGGAACGACCTGCCCGTGCATGTTAGGCAGGCCTCTTCTCTTTCTGAGGTTCAAACATATTTATTGGCTGAAGCCTTTGGCACTCTTTCAGGGGCTGAATCAGTTTGTTTTAACATGTTTGATTTTATTTATCCATGTATTTAATTTTTGTTGTTTATGCCTTTGTATATGTACAGCACTCTGTGAACCCTGGTTTTATGTTAAAGTCCTTTATAAATAAAGCTGGTATGGTAGTTTCAGCTGTAACCATTGTACAGGTTTCTACTGGGAGCACTGGTGTGGATGTGACCGTGACATTTGTTTTTCTCGTTTTTAAAAATGTTTATTTGTGCAGATGAACTCCATCGAGCACTGACAGCAGTCTGTTAGCATCAGGCAACAATAGGCAGGTGGTCAAACAGGTAAAACAAACATGCATGAGCTATTTCATCAGAAACAACACAACAACCATTAAACTGCAAATATGTACGTTAGCTTAAACAGCCGACAAATGACTGCAGTGTAGTAGAGAATACAGCTACACGGTATTATTAGCAGTGAAATTACACAGACTGCTTTCCAGCGCACACGTCACCTTCCACCTGTTAGGATGCCTGGGTCGTTGACCCAGGGTTTTTGAGTTTATTATATTATTTATAATTTCTAGTCTTTGGGTTTTTGTTAGAGTCATGTCTTATGGTTTGTCTCTGTGTAATCCTTAGTTGCTGTCTCCCCTGTCCGCTATATCCCCGTGTCCAGTCGGTGTCTGTGTCTGCCCTGGTCCCACGTCTCTGTTCCCTCTGTTGCAGTGCCTGCATGTGAGTCTGTGTCTTCTGTTCAGTCTGTGTTATGTGTTTCCTGTTTTACTCTGAAGGTCTCTGTCTTATGTGAATGTGTTCAGTTTACGCTTCCTTGTCTCGTCAGTTCTGATTTCTCCCAGCTGTGCTCTCCTTCTGTGTCTCATTCCCCTCGTTACTTCCCAGCGTATTTAAACCCTGTGTTTCTCTGAGTCAGTGTCGCGTCGTCCCTCATGCTGTGTGGATCACTCTGTGTCTCATTGTGAGTTTTGTTTATGAGTTTCCAGTTTAGTTTAGTTTGCTGTTTTATGACTTTCCCCTGCCAGCAAATAAAGCTGAGTTTTTTTGTGTTTAAACCTCATGCCTGAGTGCCTGCATTTTGGGTCCAACTCCTGCCTGCCACACAGCGACTCATGACACAACCTTCCCACTACAGTCAAACATACATCGTCACACCAGAGTGCTTCCACTCCTTAAAACCAACACCTGCTAAGTTATTAACTTCAGCCAGCAGAAGCAGCAAAGTTATAACTTCGGGGCGACACAGTGGCTCAAGAGTTCGTCTTGTAATTGGAAGGTTGTCGGTTCGAGCCCGGCTTGGACAGTCTCGGTCGTTGTGTCCTTGGGCAAGACACTTCACCCGTTGCCTACTGGTGGTGGTCAGAGGGCCCGGTGGCGCCAGTGTCCGGCAGCCTCGCCTCTGTCAGTGCGCCCCAGGGTGGCTGTGGCTACAATGTAGCTGCCATCAGCAGTGTGTGAATGTGTGGATGACTGGATGTGTAAAGCGCTATACAGATACAGGCCATTTACCATTCATTGCTTCGTTTCACACAGGAGGCAGAATTATACCCGAGAGTCCGGTACTTCTGATTGAGGCCTTGTTTTGTGTAGATGCATCTATAATTGTTACTCCTGCACAGCTGCTGTGGAACACCATAACTTTGTTCTACGTGTCCAGTGACAAGAAAGGGCTGTTCTATTCTAGAATAATTTTATCCGAGCTGAGAGTCTTCAGCCAACTGTTGTTTGTAACCGGTGACCTATGACCCCATATATTAAACCACACCCATCATCTTTAAATACTCACTGTGGATTTACTACTGTACCTGAAATGCTGCAGTCGACGCTCCCTGATGGCAACATCCTCTTTCAGACATGCTCTCAGGAAGTTTCAGGTGTTCACCAAGTGCTGAAGAACAGGTGAGTGACCTGACAGGTAAGAAGAGGAGGAGGAGGAGGAGGAGGATAACCTTCACAATGAAAGACTGAGGCTTGACAGTTTCACGTATTTAATGTTGAGGTGTCGTTTACAGCAGAAACACACACAATGTCCTGTCACAGCAGGACATTTACCGAGTCGGATTTAATCTGGGGTCGACTTCAAACTTCCTGATTAAACCTGAACTTCAAACATAAAAATCACCGGTATTTATTCAGGTCCCATACATACAGCAAAAACAATGTCCAGATTAAACTAACAGAGACCAGGTTAAACTAAAGGAAGATTAACCTAACAGAGACCAGGTTAAACTAAAGGAGTCCAG